CGTCCGACCTCGACAATTGCAACCACCTGATGACCAAATTCGAGCCTGACCTCGACATGAATCATCCCGGATTCGCTGACAAGGAGTACCGTGCCCGTAGAAAGTTCATCGCTGAAATTGCGTTCGCGTACAAGTACGGGGACGCGATACCCACCATCCCGTACACGGAGACGGAGACCGAGACTTGGACAAGGGTGTTCAACACCCTTGTCGATCTGGTGCCGAAACACGCTTGCGCGGAGTATAGAAGAAATTTTAAGAAGATGCAGGAGGAGAAGATATTCGAGCCTCACCGTATACCGCAGCTGCAGGAGGTGAGCGAGTTCTTGAAGAAGAACACAGGGTTCACCTTGAGACCCGCGGCCGGATTGCTCACGTCCAGGGACTTCTTGTCGAGCCTGGCGTTCAGGGTGTTCCAGAGCACTCAGTACATTCGTCACATCAAGAGCCCGTATCATACTCCTGAACCGTGAGTTTTTGTTTCTTCTTCATTCTTTAAAGAACTCATTTTTGTTTTTTTTCCTTTTTTGTTTTTTGGAGAATATTTAAATATGTTGGATCGTTAGAATTTTATTAGAATTAAATTTGGTCTTGCGATTACGTTTGTTAATTATTAATTTATAAGAATTAAAATGGACTTTTTTCTATATAATTTTTCTTTGACATCTTTTCGTACGAAGGTATATGATGCGAGAGCAATCGATACTGCGTTATGATGAGAGCGAGCTGCCGTTACACAGAGAACGATAATAATGGAATTACCGTGCCTCTCTAAGCTCGTAATGGAGCTCTAATTGGCTTTTAACGACACGATGGCGTTGATAACTCAGTTTCGCAGTTACGAACACTATTTTCTCTATCGAAATAACCCTCGTGCTCGTCAAAATTTTGACGAAAGTGTATCCCGCGAAAGAAATATCACGCGCCCCTCAAAATTATTACATCGATTTCCTTACTTTTCATTTTCAAATTTTGATGAAAAACATTTCCCTCTCCTCGCTACTCACATCTTTCAAATAATGAAACATTTTCAATGTACGAAAATTCAACTTATACGTATTATATATCGACTCTATTTCAACGTGAAATTTTAGATAATGAAATTATTCTTCGTAATTAGCCAAGAGATGAAAGCTTCGCTATTTCTGAATTCCACTCTCCTATACTTTGTTCTCTTCAATTAGTTTTCTTTTATATATATATATATATAAAATGAAAGTAATATTATCAATGGAAAAGACTTTATCGATTTCTGTTGATTCGCAGAGATTGCATCCACGAGCTCTTGGGACACATGCCGCTGTTGGCCGATCCAAGCTTCGCCCAATTCTCCCAGGAAATCGGCCTCGCTTCGCTCGGTGCCTCCGACGAGGAAATCGAGAAATTGTCCACGATTTACTGGTTCACCGTCGAATTCGGCCTCTGCAAGGAGGGGCCGGATGTGAAAGCCTACGGTGCCGGCCTTTTGTCCGCCTACGGGGAGCTTCTTCACGCGCTCACGAGCGGCAAATGCGAGCATCGGCCGTTCGAGCCAAAGTCCACCGCCGTTCAGAAGTACCAGGATCAAGATTACCAACCGATCTACTTCGTGGCGGAGAGCTTCGAGGATGCCAAAGAGAAATTCCGCCGTTGGGTAAGTGTCGATCGATTGCTCGGAGACTTCGATGCCTGGCATATTGGGTTTCTTTTTTTACCGTTTCTTTAATGGTCACATTTGAGTTTATGAAAATATTAATTTTGCATAATTCGTATTGGATTAATTATGGATATATTTTACGCTAGAAAGTATTTTACATAGAATGATTTTGTCGAATATTAATTTAAAATATTTAGAATATGGATATACTAGTTGAAAGAATAAATTAATCAAATTGAATATTTGAAACGATCTTATGTTTTAATTTTTGTGTTCTATCCAGGTGTCTACCATGAGCCGACCTTTTGAGGTTAGGTACGATCCGTACACGCAGCGCGTTGAGATACTGGACAGCGTGGACAGGTTGGACAACCTGATGGCTCAAGTGAACACCGAAATGACGCACCTCACGAACGCTGTCAACAAGCTGAAGACATCGTTCGCGTAAAAACAAGAGGTTGGCCAGCCTCCGTGATGACACGATACGACTTCACGTATCATCGAGCTTCCTAAAGTTTGCCGATCTTCGACGTATGCTCTTCAAAATGTGTTCGCAGGGAAATCGCGATATACATATATATATTCTATATATATATATGTATATTCTCTACTTTGTTCAACAAGTTTGCTCATTTGCGTCGCGAATCTTGACTCTTCTCCTCCTGTCAAGACTCATATCAAGCCGAGTGTAAATAAGTATTAATAATTTGTATTTCTTGCTTCCTTCTTTTTTTCTTCTTCTCTTTTTTCTTTTCTTTTTCGAAAAAAAAAAAAAAAGGTCGAAATCTCCGTCAAGTCATCCGTATCATCGTTCACATTCGATCGTTCTCACTCTGTGTATAAAGTCGCCCATACTACGCGTATTAACCAGATTACTTACGTTCAAAACGCGTATTCACTCGTATTATTCTTCGTGTGATACGAGTCCTCGATTAGTCGACCCTTCGTCTCTCGTTGTTATTTATTGATATTCTTGCAAAGAAAGAAAAAAAAAAAAAGAAGAAGAAGAATAGTATTATTGGTGGATATTCGTGTCTCGTGAAAACCGAGCCGAATCCGCTTTCGAACGTTCCACGCATACGTACGTATTCGGTTATTTTGTTCCCTATCGTATTCTATTATGTATTACATATTACTATCTATATTAATTGTAGAATATTACAAGTAGTCGCGTTTGAGTTTTTCTTATAGATAGCGTGGCGACACAGCCTCTTCGCTCCAAATTGAGCGTGGACGGTTAGTATTATAAAACAACGTAGGTTCTTTATTTTTAATTAATTATTAACGAATCAATCTTGAGATACATGCTCGTTTTTCGTTCGTTCGTTGTGAAATTATTATATATATATATAAAAGATATTATTGAGTCATTGTTACGTGGATGTTCTTTTTTTTTTTTTTTTACTTAAAATTTTAGGAACGAAGAACGCATTTGTATCTCGAGGAGATATGTAGTTACACACACACACACACAAACACAACTTCGATGACGAAGTCATAGATCAGTGTTGCATTAGAAACGCACCAATGTAGCGTGTAGTGCCGAGTAATTGCTTGCGCACCTTGCACAATTTTCCCAATAACTCGTACCAAATACTTTTTTCCCGCGCCCGATGCGCACACCTCCTCCGCGCTTGCTGTAGAAAATTATTGGCGCGCCCGTTAGAATTTCCTTTGTATTATATTGTAAAGTATTCTGAGCATAATAAAAGTCTAAGATACAAATCTTATAAATCCTTTTCTTTTCTTTAAGATTTTCTTTCTTCCTTGCTAAATCAGATTTCAATTTTCGCTCATAAAAATGGAAAATTATAATAGCTTCAAAAAGTTTAATATAAGAGAATGTTCCTTTTTATTTCTCTTCATTGAAAATTTAAAACATTTTTATATTCATTATATTTCAACTTGAATTTCAATTTTAAAGAAAGTTATTACACTTTTTGAAAGCATTTGTTATTCGGTGTAATAATAATAATCGAAAGTTTTTTTAAAAATTTTCGATTCGAAGGTGCACGTTATAATCGTATAACCTATAAAAATTAATCGAACATGAAGCATGAAATGCGTAAATTCGAGTTAAACACGCACACCTGTTTAACATTTCACGCACGATGACGAAAAATGGATTATGTTCGCCGATTAATCATCATCGAAGTGAAATCGTTTCCGGATCATTCCCCTCGAGGCGAACGTCCCGTCGAACAGACTCGTAGCCACCTTCCGTCTCCACTTTGTTTTCGATTGAAAACATCATGGCGATTCCCACATAAAACCCCTCGATGAGTATTTAGCCATCATACGGCGAGCAGCACCCGCGTTCTCATTGGAGATCATGAAACTCTTGGCGGTGCTATGCGCGCTGATGATACAATGCGCCGCTTCAAAATCATGGAACAACGATAGTAAGGTGATAGCCTTCTATATGCCTCGACACCCGATGTGACTTCCTTCTTTGCCCGTCAGGTTATTCGGAGGAGTTCTTCGTGTTTAACTGGTTCGGATATTTAAAACGTTTGTCTTTGATAATCCTGATGTTGTCCGGTATTATTCTCTACTATATTCCGGA